ATAAGCAGAGCCACGAGGCAACTGGAAAGGTTACAGAAATACATCAGCCTAACAATGGGAGTCTGAACAAAAGTTTCCATGCGACAGATAAAAAATTAAATATAAAACCCTTTTGCATTCAGAATTTGCAAGACTAAAACTGAGACTCTATTTCTGGTGCTAAGATCCATCACATCATAGAAAATTTTTAGATTTCAGTCCTCAATGACATAGATTAGTGATTAGTGTAGTTGTTGTTACTATTATGACTATTACTATTATTACTACATACTACTACTATAATGATGATGATTTTTATTACTACAACCATGTCAACTGTGGCTTAAGTGGTGCAACGGTGCCCTATGAAACCAGTATTTCCTAAACCATGAACTACCTAACATAAGACTTAAGAATCAACCATAGCACAAAAAGACTGCAGCCTTACATAATAACATTGCTATTATCTGGTACACAGAAATGAGGTCATATTTCACAGCAAAGAGCACAGATTTTCCTGGTGACTCGTGTGTAACCTTCACTACCTGTCCTGATGTCATATCTAATATGGGACAATGGTAAACTGCAGCTGAAAACAGGAAAAGTACTCAATACTCTTTCTAGAGCTGTTAACACAAGAAATGTTAACAGTAACATGGGATTTGATATATTCCATAACAAAAAAACCAATGCTCTAACCCACTGAAGGACAATTCACTCAGCTGCTGTAAATGGACAGTGTCCATCAATCTCAAACACTCATCTGAGTAAGCCAATTAACCGTGATCACTTGTGGTGCTGATCAGCATCAAAATGATTGGAATCTACATTTCCTAATTAAAATAAAAGAGTAAGTTGGGAAAAAATATTCTAACTTATTCCAAAGAAGATACTGTACAATAAGAAACAGGTAATATTCAAAGACTCATTGGTACTTTGTCCTGGGATAAGTAGAGTAAGTGCAGTGACACACCTGGCCACAAAGTATCCTCCACAAGTGCAATGATGTTGAGCAATCTGTACTAGGATACTGATATTTGAATACTTTCAAAAAATAAAAACAAAAAATCTGCTGCTAGTGAGCGCAACTGAGAATAAAATGAAATTTAGAAGCCAAAGGATACTTAAAATTCCCCATCACCACATTCTACATGAAGTCATAAACGGTACAATATGACAGGAAAAATTGTATCCTAGCAGTGTCCAGGCCATGCAGTCTGCACACCAAAGTAGCACATTGTGTGTTCTGTATCTGATTTGCTCAGTGGTTTAGCTCTCTTGTGAAAAAAATAAGAGTGATGGGCTTCAAAGTATGCCTTCAGCTTGTGATCACAGCCTTCAATGGATAATAAGCAAGGATCATGTGATAAAAGCTAAAAGATCCCCAGAAGAGACAGAAATGTTGGAAAATAACAAGGAAACTGAATTGCTCTAGTGAGTTTCAGTCCTAGAAATCAATCCTGGAATTTTCAGTCTGCACCTTCTAATAGCGGATTCCATTAATAAATACAAAAAATGAATAGAGAGCATCATCTGCAACCACAGCAAGGGAAATAAAAAATAGTAGCCCTCAAACACACTAAAATGGCAATGACAGCAGAAAGTCACAATTTAACAACTTGAAACAAACACTTTTAAAAAGCAAAGGAATTTTAAAATATTTTTTTTCTGTAAACCTACATATGTATGTATACACTTACACACAGGCAGATACAGACAGTTGGGTAGAGCATTTTCTTTTGGCTAGTTTCTAGTCCAACTATCAGTTACAATGTCTATGCATCTCTATAGAAATTATCTACCTCTTTCTAACTATTTACTAAATGAAACTTGAATAAATAGACATCAAAGACGGGGGAAGTATAAACTTTTCTCTTTGCTCTTCATTTTTGACACAATGATGCAATACTGCTTCTGACTTAAGGAACTGCTCCTGCATTCCTTCTCAAAAAATTTCTCTCATTTGGGGTAGCAGTCTTTTATTGTCATAAGAGTTTTGATCAAATGGAAATTACAATATTGGGTATTCCCTTAGTTAAAGGAAGGTAAAAATGCCTTGGAGGGGTACCATGCCTCTCCCAGCCACCTGAATAGCACACTTTAATGGTCTTGTCAAACTGGTACTGGCATGGTTCTTCTCTGGACCCCCTGGGGCATTAGTACCACAAAACTGCATATTTATGAATACATACAGTTTGGGGATGAATACAGGACAGGGAAAGCTAATGAGGCCAACAGGCACCATGGATCAACAGTCATTTTTACATTGGGACCATATATCAGACTCTGATACTTGTACACCAAACAGTGGTTGCTTTTCATTTGGCCCTAGTTTGAAAGGAGAAAGGTAGTAAAAGCCTAGTGCTTTTAAATTAGGTGTTCAACATAAAGTAAAAAAAGGCTCTAAATAACCATTGCATATCTAAACTCTGTTAAGAATTTCCTATACCACTGCAGAGCCACTGAGGATCAAGACTTTGGCCATAAAAATACACTTAGCTGTATTTTACATGATTGTTGCATAATGCATAGCTCTAAAAGGTCAGCTCTAAAAGACAGATTTAGTTAGTATTGGAAGCCTAAAAACTCCACTGATACAGACACTTGTTAAAAAGGTTTCATGCAGGTTTCAGATGCCCAAAGAGATCATGAGCTGTAGAAAAACATCTCTTAAGAATGGGGTGAATATAACACCTAGAATGTTGTGTAGATCTTTGCTAAACAGTAAAAGCCAAAATACAACAGCCTTCAAAAACAAATTCTAATGAATATCATACATACATCCCATTTATGAAAATCTATCAAATACCAAGAGGAAAACAGACTGAATTCAAAAATAAATGTTTCCTCTCATAATATGTGTCCTCCAAGGCTTTCAGACAAACATACTCCCTTGATATGCTGTTTAGCATCATTTTCAGAAAAAAAAAAGCTCTCTACATCATGCCGTATTGTATCCTAACTTAATAGTTAAAGGACATCGTTTGCCAGAGTGAATTAAGGTATCTGACAAATGAATGATCCAAAGGGGAACAACAGATAATGTGTTCTCACACTAAGTGATCGCAATGGTTAACAATCTCAAACAATATTGATTCCAGGAAAAGTGCCTTCTTAATGAAACCAACAGCTCACATAGAGATAGTTTAGAGAGTCAAATTTCTTATTATTTATTTTGATGAGAATGTTGTTTCCCAGAATAAAACATCTCATTTTTTGAAACCTTAATCAAAATCTTTGTATATATATGTGTTATTTATTTTTACAAATGTTTGATTTTTGTACTGATATTAGATGCTCATACAAGCCAAGTTTCTGCGGTCCAAGCCCAGTGAAAGCAATTGCCCTTTTATGAAGGAAATGGTGGTATAAGGCTGTAATTTAAATTGCTAAGTAGTTCTCTGTCCATTTTTAAAAAACACAGAGCAGTTTTTAAATTTCTACATCTGAACCATAGCTAGAAGATTTCACAGGGGTTGCAGAGACAAGAAAAGGGCATGGGAGATGGGGCAGGACTACCCTGCAAAGCCAGCCTCATGCTGGCTCTTTAAAACTGGAAAACTGAAAAACTGAAGCTGTAAGCATTTTTCATGTTCAGTTCCACAGGCTGAAGGACTTACATTGGTTACTGGAAAAAGAAGCCTCTACCACTTGCTATACCCTCCTTACAGCCTGTCCTCACATTTTGCTCCCATGGTAAGTTCCTTCAGAAAAGAACTGGACAGAGAGAAACAAAAGAGAAAGACTGAAGTAGGTAGACAGACAAAAACAAAGACATCACTTATACTGGACATGGAAATTGGAATATTTCCCCCACCCATCACTCTTCTGCTCTGTTATGCATTTCATTATGTACAGTCCTGGCCTGAGACATGGACTTCCCTGCCACAGCCCCAGGTAATGGCAACCATAAGTTTATTAGACCATTATGCTGGAATGAATATCCTTTGCCACAGATCTGCATAATCTACTTTTGGCATCTCTATCCACAGTATCTAAGTACCACTGGTATTTCCTGCCTGGCTTCCCATCTATTCCCCACCCATGCATGATGATACAGGTCTCAATCACAAGATCTGTAATAATAATTGAGAATTATAGTGCTCTAACCAAATGCTCAGAAGATCCCTGTACTGTCATACTCCAGCCTCTGAATAAAATGCTTGTCTGCCATGCAAATTCAATACTGTCAGCAATTCTGTAGGGAGAAGGTAAAGGAAAAAGGCAGGAGAGGAGTGAGCTCAAATGCACCTGACGGTGAATCCCTGTCTTAGTCCTGGGCAGCAGTCCGCAGGAGAAGTCATGCCAAAAGGCCTCTCTAAAGCCTCCACCACCACCATTTCATACAATGTACAATTTAAGTGATTTACTATCGCACACTCAACCTCCTTAGAAGTGCTGTTACTTCAGCGTTGGTACTAAACACATAGATTAGATCTCAACAGGTCTACCAGAAACTAGATGGGATTCATTGCTTAACTTCTGAAGAAACCAGCCATGAACACATACCCACCCACCACACACACACAGGGAAGAGGACGCAGAAGATTAAATGGAAAAAGGACAACAAAACAGTTAATTTCAAATTTTTCTTTCTATGAATTTGAAAAAAATCCCAAACAACAAATCACTGCAATGAAAATAGTTTTATTCACAGCTGCTGTGTCAACCATGATTTTTCTTAAGCTCCAAAGACTAGCTCCATGAAATTATACCGGTCCAGAGACAATCCATGTATACAAAAACATAGTGGAAATATTCAGCACAAACTAAAACAAGGATCTCATACAACATACTCTGTGGGGCCTCATTTTTTTAAAAGAAGAAATACATTTTTAAAATTACAACTATTTCAGATAGAGAGGTGAAACATGTTTCTATAATAACCACAATCATATTCAACTGCATAAGAATACACAGTAAGGAATAAAGAAACTTATTTGAATGAGATTAAAATTATTTCATAATATTAACCCATAGCAACATTCAGATGATGTTTTCTATCAATAATCAGAACTTACCATATTGATTGGGTCAACTGGGCCGATGCTGTTTACATAGACATCTGTTTCAATTACCGTAGTTCTCACTAAACAAAACAGTAACCATAATAATTACATATTTAATTAACTCTGTGCATTGTTAGCGTAACGTAATCTATTTAACTAAAACAACAACATATCTGTATTCTTTTATTAGCTTCAGAATAATTAAATTTTTGCTCTGTTAGTACTTTAGAGGATCATATATGACTTGGCTCCCTTATTTCATATGAAATGTTAAAATTATCAACTTCAATTTTTTAGTTCATAATGCAATACCCACATATGCTTTGTGAACAAATGTAAGATAGATACAATAGGTAAAGGAAGGAAAAACAAACAAATGAAACCTCCCAAAAACTGTCTTCCAACTTAAAAATTTATGAATAAACAGAAAGAAATGTTTGGAAAATTTGTTCATACAACAAACCATGAGATCTGGGAGTAAATATGTTTATCATCTGTAAGGAATCAATATGCAATGCTTTCTATCAATTCCTACTGAGAACATGTAACAGAAATAAAATATCTTTTCACCACAGATTTCTTCAATTCATGAAGCTATATCACCTTATATATAAGGGTATTACTTTACGCCCTTTCATCAGTGTGGTTAATACACCGTTTCAAGTACCAAATTTAAAGTCCCTCAAGTGACAGTCATTTAAAAGTTAAACATTACCAAACCTATTTTGCTTTAAAAAGACTCTCACTACGCAGATGAAGAAAAAAAAACTTTTAAAAATATATTCTCTTACAGAATACACTCTCTTATTCTGTGCATTTACAGAAGGACACAAAGTCTAAGTGATTTCCATGAAAGGCACATCTGAAGTACAGGAGTCACTTATAATTCAGTCTTTTCCTCCTAACTGGTTTATACAGAAAAAAGGCTCCAACACAAGAGGTGAGAATGCATTTTAACTTCATCAGTTTACCAGGCATTTTTTTCTAGCTTCTACTAGAGACCCAGAATGTTGACACAAAAGTATATATGTCCTGGTACCCAACAGAAAGGAGAGGGTTAATAATAGAGCTCTGTTGGTCCTTTCATGATTTGACACAATAAAATGAAGCATCTCGTTCATCCGCAGATGAAAAAAGGGGAAGATACAAACAAAAAGGCATTTTGATTTTATAGAAGAGGGGCCCTAGGTCATCAGATTTAATTTCTTTATACTGCAAACCATTAGAGATCGCTCAAGTGCTCAATAACACACCTAAAATGTTAAGCAAGAAGGTTTTTTATATCTCTAAAAACTTGGACACACAGAAAGAAAGAAGGTATCATTGACATCCTTGCCAGCTACAATGACAGGCAAGACACTTCCTAAATATCTTAAGATACCTTTTCTCTGCCAAGATCACTTGAGAGGAAATTCCTCTCGATTCCAAATCCAGTTACTGGTGTAAACCTAAGCCTGACAGAAAGACAAACCAGTGAGGCTGCACAAAGGATTTTTTATGACCACATATCATAAAGTCACTTGATCACCATCCTGTCCCCAGCATGCTTCACTGAAAGTTTAAAAAGATTCTGGAAACAAATTTATTTCCTAAATACTTCCTGAGATGATCCCTGTGGGTCCCTTCCAATTCAGAATATTCTGTGATTGAGCTGCAAATGTTTTTAGTTTCTGCAGAGCTCATAAAGGAAGGGGGAAAACACAAGAACTCATATGCACAAGTTGAAATATCAGAGTAAAAAGTTTATAATGTGTGTGTGCATATCACAGAATCACAGAATATGCCAAGTTGGAAGTGACCCACAAGGATCATCAAGTCCAACCGTTAGTCCTGCACAGGACCATCCCCAAGAGTAACACCGTGTGCCTGAGAGTATTGTCCCAAGGCATCTTGAACTCTCTCAGGCTTGGTGCTGTGACCACTTCCCTGGGGAGACTGTTCCAGCTCTGGGTGAACAACCTTTGCCTAATATCCAACCTAAACCTCCCCTGAAACAACTTCAGGCCATTCCCTCGGGTCCTGTCACTGGTCAGCACAGAGAAGAGATCAGAGCCTTCCTCTCCTCTTCCCCTCACCAGCAAGCTGTAGACTGCAATGAGGTCTCCCCTCATATGTACTCTGTAATCTATTTAACATATACCACACCTCACAAACAGATAATTTTATTTTTTTTTAATTTTACCACTTTTTAATTTAACTGCTGTTGTTTACATAACAGCAGCCCCACTGCCAGACCAGAAAACAAGGAGATGGATCAAAGTGTGTTCTGACTCATTGCTCAAGCAATGCTGAATAATTTACTATGCAGAATCTCTCACCTTGAAATCCAATCCATAGGTTTCTTCCCCTTCCACCTCCTCTTTTTTCCCCCCGCTCAATTCTCATATCTCTGGTTATTCTGAAGGAGCTGATTACCCTGAAGATGCAGCCTCTCCCTTTCCAACAGCCTTGGTGTCATCTGCCAACTTTACTACAAAAATGAATTGCTGAAGTCATTCGAAATACCATTATTCTTGATCAAGACTTTCCTATGAGGCCCCATTATAGGCAGCCCAACCACTGATATTCCTTATTAACAACTAAATTTTGAGATCTGTCAGTGAGCCAGTTTTTAATGGGAGCTATGTCAATTTTATGAAATTCCAGCTTGCAGCAAGCAGTACTTCATCTGCCACAAGGGCTTTCCGGTAATGAGTGAGAGTTCGTTTTTCCTATTCCATACTGCTCTGAGTGAGATTATTAGTGGTATTAAGAGCCAGTGAAGAGTTTGAAAATCTGCTTCTGTTGAAATTATTTTAATTTACCAAAATAAACCAGAGAAAGGAATACAATTCAAGAAGATTGGAAGAATCTGTTTTGTTACATTAGTTCTTCTGTATGGTACAGAGCAAAGTACTTCTGAATTAGAAGAACTAATTCATTCTTCTTGTGTTCTTGAACCAGAAATGATAATGCAAATGAAAAATGCTGGAGGAAAATACATTCTCAATAATAATTTAACATCCATATAATTACTATTGTTCATTTCCTCTCCACAAAGAGCTAACAATGAAAGATGGTTTGAGAAGATTTTTCTACTGTGAATGCTTCTTATTTTACTTTAAAAATCTTATATCAGCCCTGAAAACAGTACAAGTAGGAAGAAGGTGACATCACACATCCTGTATGAAGTGCAAAACAGCACTGTAAACTTACAGAATCTTCTAAGCAAGGGGAGAAAGGGCTTGCAGACTTTAAAGATTTACACAGAGACAGTATGACCCAGGCTACAGTAAAGTAAGAAGGTGAGAGAACAACAGATTGAATATTCAAGAGGGAGAGAGAGAGAGAGAGAAAGAAGAGCACCAAGAAGCAGCTGTCCACAAGGGATAGTTCACCAGCTCCTAACATAGCTGAAGCACATAGGAAACCTCTTTGGTAAACCAAATCTAGAGAGACCTACCCACTTTCTGATTTCCTGCTTTGACACCTTTTTTTCACTAGACTAAACTTCTTCTGGTTTTAAAAATATTGAGATATATTTATTTCTGATTAGAGAAATCATAGTGATAAAAATCCACCCCTATCATTGACAAATCATTTTAGTAATTGGCCTTGCCACCCAAAGGGCCTCTTTTATAGCCTGTATTTTACCAGGCCCAATTTTTAGCTTCTGATATTTGAAATATCTCTGCCTGCTACACTTAAAAGCTCTCCTTATCATCTATTCTCAGTCTATAAACACCCATCTCCTGACAGAAATTTTTATCATCAACGTAAAAGTGCAGAACATTGCACTTTTTATTGCTTAATACTGCTCCATTTTCATTACTCTAATCTATTAGTTCAATTCATTAACAAATAGCATGTTAGTCCATCTAAATTCATTAACCAGTTCCCATAGTTTACCACAATTTCCTCTTTTTCTAAGGAAAGTCTAAGACATATCACTTTTTTTTTAATTAATACTTATCATACTATTTAATTTTAACTAAGACCATTTTTGATAATTTCATCCAGGCTTATTTTCTTTGAGCATGTTTTCTAAAACTCCTAATTAATCACTTAAAGAAGCATCCCCTCTAGGTGATAAAGCAGTTAGTCAGCAAATAAATTAGGTGATTATCACATTCAGAAATAACAGAGGCCTTAAATTTGTAATAGCTTTTAATGGAATAATAAAATTCTCACAACCAGCTATCTAAGATTACTACTCTTATGGTTATTTATATTGAAAATTCAGCCTCAAGTTTCTACAGCAGGCTTCCAGCTGTATCTTTGAAGAATTTTTCAAAGTGATTTTGATGAAAGCAGAGTCCTGTCCTCCACACTTTTTTACCTTTTCATGCAAAAGAAACCCATCTTTAGCAAATACTCCTACCCCACCACTTTTATTATTTCCATCATTTTCTATGCAGTGTACACATCCAGTACCTTTAAATTTCACTGAATATGCTCTTCTACATCTTTCTCTTCTATTTTGATTTTCTTCAGTTCTTGGAAAATATTCTTCAACTAAAAACACATATCTCTCTATCTTTACTTGGTATTTTCCTACTTGATCAAGCTTATTAGTTTTCTGCCTATATCATACTTTCATCAATGCTATACTAAGATCACTCCTTCAGTAGAATTTCCTTCTACTACTCTTATATTTTTTCAAAATTAGTGCTTCCATTAGTCACTTGAAAGTCCAATTTTTGTCCATGTATTCTTTGTATCCCAGAGAACAGGACTTTCCACATTAGTGCCCTGAGATGCAATTTCTTACCCAGGTCCTGCATATAGGGCAGTAACAGTCATCCACATTTCTCTAGGAATCTAATTTCTGTATGTCCATGAGCACTTACCCTGACCATTCTTGAAAACTCTATCAGTGATGACTTGCCTCAAACTGTTGATTGAAACACTCCATATAAGTTAAAGATATGTGATGATTATTTCCTATTTTTAATTAAATTTTCAGATTGATCAGTTGTGTTTCACCCATACACACATCACTGCTGGAAAAAATGCTCTGCGCATTGATAGGATAATATTAATATATCAGTGCCCCTAAGACGTGAGAGGTGGAATGATGTGCGGCTAGAATTTAAAAAGGAAAGTTCAAAAATAATAACTACTTTGATGCAGAACTGATGTTTAAACAGTGTGGTCATAAAATCTGGCAACCAAAAGGTAATGCTACAATGAGAATAGTACTGCTTTATTAATAAATCAACATACCAAGGTCACATCCATAATTAAACATTATTTATACTACGGATAGGAGACTTCATCTGGTAACTACTACTACTTCATACTGAGCAGATGGTACTTCAATACTAGACCTTCCATGCTGGAACCTTTATGCTCCAAGCATCTTAAAGCATACTACATAAACTGAGTAAGTAAGATTAATAAACATAGCAAAGGGTAGTAGTTAAGAAACCACTACAACTCAAGGACATTTGAATGAGGTAAACAGAAAATGACAGAACAGTTTTCTCCTAGTAAATTTCAGTATTGTCTCCGAAGTTTTGATTTTCATTTGGCTTTCCTTCAGCATGGCGCTTGACTAACTTCATGCTTAACAATGAAACCCTTATCTCACTCTGAGATGCTGAAATTCTGTGTCAACATCAGGAAGCACACAAAATTCTGCTCTGAGATTCAAATCCAAAGAGTGCAAGTTCAAAACAAAAAATGTTGTTATTGTAAATGGGCTTTGTAATTCAATCATAAGAACGCTCAGTGGGATATTATTGCTTTAAAAGATAATGAGAATTCCAGTTCAATAACCTTGTTGTACAAGTACTGACATACACTCTGAAGATATGGAATCTGACACTTTGAAGCAGAATGAACAAATTATAGCCCAGTTTTGTTTTTCTGTCTGTTAAATATCTGCTGCAGTTCTCAAACAACTGGACAGAATGCAATACCTTCACCTGAAGTCAGAAATTTCAACTGATGTTATCCAAAATTTCTGTTTTGTGGCAGAAGTCTGCAACTTACCCTTCATCCAGAAGAGAATCAGTCTTAACCTTTGTTCTCCTGAAAACAAAGTGAATACTCCCAAATGTCTCCTCATCACTCTGGCTGATTCTGCATGAACTTTATGTTTTAGTATAGTGGGTGGAGGCAGGCCCCAGATAGCAAAGGTCAGATTGGTATAGAAGTATTGAGAAGACAAAGGGAATATTTATGTGAGAGAAGATAGAACTTTCTTCTTTTAGGACCTGATATTTTGAATCCAAAAAGCTGTACACTGAGTTACTCACAAAAAGGCAGGATTCTTGTCCTATCAAGACTCAGTACATAACCAGAAAAGTAAAGGTAAGCATTATATCAAAATTCTTCCATACCCACCTAGGAAGCACAGAATATTCTGAGTTGGAAGGGACCCACAACAATCATCAAGTCCAACTCTTAAGTGAGTGGCCCGTACAGGGATAAAACCCACATTGGTGTTATCAGCACCATGCTCCAACCCACTGAGGTAATCTCAGTGTATCTAAATACATTTGACATGTCAGAATAAACTCCTCTTCCTTTGTATCCTCTCCGTTTATTTTTAAGTTTTATGGAGAGAGTAGAGACAAAGAATTCTCTTTCCTTTCAACCCCACCTACCAGCTAATCATTAGAAGGAATCATGGTTTATTCCCTCATAATCATTTTGTTTGTTGCATCAAACAGGGAAAAAAGACCCAACAGTAATTCTATACATCTGTCTCACACTGAGAATTTAAGGAAAAACATCCTGGAAGACCTCCTTTGTTGTCTAAATGTTTATAGTAATTCAATTAAATGAAAATGAAGAAAATGACTTAAACTTTATGAGGTTCACATATGATTATATTATGACAGGGAGAGAAATATTGCCTTTCAACATCTTCAGGATAACAGTCAACAATAAAACAGAACTAAGAAATTGGGGAAAGAAAACAATTTGTCAGAAGCTTTCAAAAGAAAATGCATAGTTTGAGATGACATCTCTCTCTTCTCTGACATGAATGAAACAAGCAGTTGTATTGTTTAGCACATAAGCATCTTACAGACTTTGGTAGGGAATGCCAGGTATGTAACAAACAATTATGTCCTCTATCTCTCCCTTCACAGTTCAGGAAACAAACTCAGAGAAAATACATTGTTTTTCTTATTTGATCCAGCATGCATATGGTAGACAAGAGCTGCCAAGCTTTCATGTTTTATACGCTTTCAAAACAAGATTCTTTTAAGTATTTAAACTTAATAATTATATGTAAATTGATGGTTTGACTATTGAAAGACAAAATTACCTTCCTACAAGCTGCAAAGTTTGATCTATAGCAATGCAATCTTCCTTCCTATATTCCTCTAGAAAAGATAAGGTCGTAACTTATATTTTTAGATTCTTATGAAGTTTTTCAAAATCTGAGCTAAAGAAAGAAGAGAACTGGGTTGAGTTATATTTTTCTACAGTAAGAGTAAAATCTCTAGGAATAATTATTTAATATACTCCTACAGATTCAAGATCAGTTTTTTAAATAACCATAGCTGATTTATATCTACATTTCTTTCTGTCAGAAGATATTTGTTAAACAAAGTAAATTGTAAATACCTTTCAGTGATCTATTGTAGATTGCTCACTGTCCCCCAAAACATTTTCAATAAGAAAAAGAGATGGTAAATAGAACATAAAATCTACTCTTGCCTAGAACATTAATTTTATCAGTTTCAGAAAACCATTGCATTTAATTGCTGGTTGCTATCTTGAGTTTTAGAAATTGCAACAAGTGGATTTTTGCCATCTGACAAAACGCACATTATCTCTATTCACATTTTCTGTTACACTCAATCATTTTATGAGCTTACCCCCAATATCTGGCCGAAGCTTATTGTCATATCCTTGAAGTAAGGAGTCCAGTATGTGAGTTACATCTCCACCATGAATCTTTGGTGCAAGGACCCACGTTTTATTCACCATTAGATCTTCATCATCTTCATCGTCTGCTTTATCAGCTCTATGTTGAGTGAATAAAAAAAAAAAAGAAAAACAAGATTAGGGAAAACAATAAGAAACAGTGAAAGTGAATACACAAGAGGTGAAGAAGAAAGAAATAAAATATTGAACACTATTTAGAGTACTTTATAAAAATCCAAATGCGTTCTGGTGCCAACAGAAAAAGGTAGGCCCTTATTTAAAATACCAACATTTTGTTTTATGGTGGTAGAGAGTCTAAGCCAATAAACATGTTAATAGAGGCATTAACACATGACCCATACAGAAAAACTCAAGCCATGATTCAAACCCATAAAAGCAACAGTAGGCATCATCTTACTCTTAGCCTTTTCCTGTTTTAAAACACAAACTGTAATTCCAAAGCTTTTCCCTACATGTACTTCTTTTTCAAGTCATGATAAATATTTCTAAGAGATGCTTAATCATAATGGATCTTGGTGCCAAGAGCATTAAGAGAATCTTTCCTAGTAGTCTCTCTTCTAACTATGATATTAAAAAATAAGACTTGTATAATTATTCAACTCCATACATTTTAGGAAAGCAAACAAACATTACATCCATGTGCTTTGACTAAACATTAGCAGAAGTTGCAGTCATGTGTCAACTACATATCTGCATGTATATATGGTGCAGTTAACTGAAAGGAATGGTACACCATTTTAAGACCATTTGTTAGCTACCTATTTTATCAAGATGAAACAAATGTACCAGGAAAACACACATTCATTTATCACCTATGTTTTAATTAGATAAGCAGCAATATATTGCTAATCACTAAGTCATTAAAAAATAATTGCAATACCTTGGTTACATCTGAAAATTCACTCAGATATCACCAAAAGGTCAAAGAATGCCTGGAAGTAGTTTTCTTTCCATTTCAATCAAATGCGTATGTACTTCAGTATTCCTCCAGTGCTAAAAACTGCAATCTGTATTACTCATCTACTTTATTTCAAGGAACTGCTATGGGCTAGAGGTCAACCAAAGTGCATCAGATTGATAGCAGTAACTCTGACAGTTGCACAACCTATCTTCACAAATGGGCACTGGCTAGCAATTGCAGAACATATGCAACCCCTATAAATCAGATCCAATGTTAACATAAGTACAATATTCCAGTAAAAGAAGAAATTAAATTACTATCCTTGTGCCAATTTCTATTGTACACCAAAACTAAAAATGTAACTACTTTATTATAGAAAGGAATTTAACGGGCTTCTAAATTACACAGACATATTCTGCCCTCAAAACTAAGGCTGGTATTTTTCAGTAAATTTCCTACAGGAAAGAAAACCTCTAGTATGTTCCATGTGAAAAACAGACAGAAAAAGTCAGTAAAGGACAGAGAAAGAGTAGGCAAGCCTGGTTTCTTCTGCAGTCCTTTGTGGTAATGCTTCAAACCGGTCTGTAACCTCTTGGATAACAGTAGCAAGTCTCACTGAAAATCACAACTATCATGGCTGTGCAAACTGCCTGGTGGCTTTGGCATGCCTGTTTAATTTAGGAAGTGCGACAGAAACTTCAAGTCAACAGTGCCCCAACTCAAGAGGTTCCCAGAGGATGAACTGTTTGGATATCCGAGCTTTCATACCTAGTTTGCTGCAAACAAGTTGAAAGAGTCTGTTAAAGCTGAAAGTAACATGACAGCTTCCCTGTAACAGTCTGAAAAGCACTTTCATACTTCTAAATTGAAATGCACCATAAAATACTTAATCTTTACTGCACTACATAGACATTACAGAAATGTCAGATATTAAATATTTAACATTTCCCATTAGCAGGATCCCACTAATGGGAGCACTAAAAGAAGTAGGAAGCTAAGTTTTGTAAATGTACACTTTTTTTCCCTCAAAGCTACCTATTGCCATCTCTTTCATGTGTTGTTACCACACAGTTTTTTTTAATGTATCTATTTATGGTCTACTTGTAATTTTTTTGCATCTAATTACTATACAAATTGAATTACAGTTGCTCAGAGTAGAGAGGCAATCCCAGCCTTTTCCCAGAGGCATTAAGATGATGAGGAGTAAAAGTTAATTTATAAGTAGCTCTCTACATACCCACTGCAAAACTGACCTTCTTCCTCTTTTTGTTCTCCATCCCACAAACAACAGAAAGTACAGTGAAAAAAAACAGAGCTCTGTACAGATCCAGGGCACCTGACTCACTGGATCAGCCCAGTTATTTGCAGAGAATTTGAAGTGATTGTGACACTATTTTGTCCTGATTTAATGTTCTTTCCACAATGTTATTAAGAATAGCAGAGATTTAGCCAAAATGAAAAGTACAAGTCGTGTCATTACTACCAAAAGCCAATAGGAGTTACATCCACAACACCTCCACTCGCAGTTCCTTGAATATCTTGACCTTTCAAAGAGTTCTTAATTTTATTTATAGATTCCCAGGACAACTCAAGTGGGAAAAGGATCATGAGCTGTGTCTCTAGTCCAGACTCTTACTCAAAGCAGGGCTGGCTCTGAGGTCAGAGCAATTCTCTCATGGCTTGATCAGGCTGGGGTTTGCAGACCTCCAAGAATGGAAGCTGCACAACCTCTCTGAGCAACCTGATCTCCACTTGTCTCTTTTCCACTATTTACTATATTTGAATAAGTTTTAAAATTGACAAGAAAAAAATGCAAATACAAATCCATTTTAAATTTTCACTTTCTGTCTTGTTTGATTGGAGGCCCTCTGGTCCTCCTCCAATTTTAAAACTCTGAACGACAAATAGGTATACAGCGACAGCTTAGAAAGCTATTAATGCAATTCCAGAGGGAGAGGGAAAAATTCCATTCCAACATCTGAGAGCTTTTCTAGACACTAGTAAATAAATCCATTTAAGAAGACACTTTTATTAGAAGCAACACTTAGTGTCTGACAAGTTTTGGCTTGAAATGTGCATTTCTGACTATTTACATAGAACTATGTGATTTTATCTAGAAAATATTGTACACTGAAAAAAGTGCCACCCACTAGAAAAGAAATACAGTAGACTTCCATACTAATACACAAGGCTAACAAGAGCTTGTGACTCACTAATCCATTAGATAAACCAGCAAAGAGACCATCACAGATCAGATGATAATATAACCAAATGTGGAGGAACTGGATTACTGCTGTTCTACATGGTGAAAACAGCTGTTCTTACTCTGTCTATTTCTATATTACTGGGCTTTTCATCTTTCACTCCTAAGCCATAGCCACCAGTGTGCAACAACAGGACTGTGGTAAGAAGGAACAATGCAGGCTGGAAAAACGAAGTGACCCAATCATAGAGAAAGTCTTCTGTATGCCCTCCAGGGAAGCAAAGCACACCACCTGCCAACTTGAATTCTCAATCCAGGTATTCTGGGAGGAATCGCACAAAGTTCCCCAAAAAGACCACCTAGTGATATGAAGGCAACAGGACATTCCAGTAATGTCCAGAATTACTAGTCTTTGTCATGCTAAAGAGATTTGAATTAGTCTGTTTCAAAGATAGAAATCCCTTGTACACAGTGAACAGATCAGTTGAGATGGTGTTACCAGCATCGAATCAAGCTTGTTGGACCATGTTCTTTAAAGAAACATTCACTTTGGAAGACAAGATGATTCAAAACTGCTACTCTTTTACCAAGTTACTGTGTATCTCCAGCTCTTTCTCCAGGTTTTGGAATGGGATAGAAGGAAAGACAGAAGGCATCAAACTTAATTTCAAAGTAGAAAAGAAAATGTTAAATTGAGGTATACCATTCAATTATTTAGCAGCAGTTAACTTTGGCTGAGCACCTTTTTACTTCTTTGCCATTAAAACAGATCTAACAAACCTATGAAGATTAATGTCAATTAACTCAATTCTCACTGTAACAGTAGCGCTTTCCCCTCTCTCTCACAACCTCAGGAAGAAAGGCAAACTTAATTAAAGAGGAATTCTTTTCCTTTCCAAGTTCATCTAAAGGTTATTTCACTATACACAGAAGACAATGCTTGATCCTCTCTCCATTTACTATAAAATAGATTTTTTCCAACAAAGTTCAGACAGTAGCTCTTTTTCAGAATGTCTGGAGAGACTGTGACTTAGAACAAAAATACAACATCAAACGTTAAAACGTTCCTGTTCATGGCACAGCACTACTTTACATCTATTACTGCAGGTGCTAATCCTGAATTAAATGATTTTATAAATAAGAAAGAGACCTCACCTCTTAAGATGCTTGTTGATGTAACACTTCAGCTAGTCTCATAAACTCAACAGTAAACTGCATGTACACAGTTAACAGTAATTAGGCAAAAAGTGCCCCAATTATACTCTCTGTCCTTCAACTAATTGGAGACATTACCATGACTAATAAATCCCTGAGCACAAGTGACTAATGACTAAATAAGTCTTTTCAACATCAGGCAACATGCTCATCTTCAGACATTAATGTCATAGGTCTTTGTTTTCCTTTAAATATGAGAAAAACCAATCAGATGAGCTTTGAGTTGCAATTAACATCTGTCAAGTTATGTAATGAATTGGGAAAAAAAACCTGATACAGTGAAAGTGTTCCTACTGTTATTTACATCATGCCTGTCTAAGTATTACACACAGAAGCACACATATAGGATAAGTGGGAGTATTTAAACATGGCGAAGCATCAATTTAGTTGCGCGTTCCTAGGCTCCTGTTCCCATCAAACACATACAAGGATATCCAGTCCCCCAATCTGGGTTGATTTACAGGGAGCCTGTAGACTTCCAGAGCAGCAGAGACTTGGCAAGGAATATGAGGTATCTCCACTGATGCTTCATGTCTGCGCGCAAGCAATTCAATCAAGCCCTTGGTACCTGTGAGGTTTAGACAACCTGCATAGTGGCCTTGTCTATTTGGAGATAAAGTAATCCTTCCGTACAAGGAATATTCTGATAATCATTTAATAAACAAATAAGAAGAAAAGTCAATGTTTCAGATAATTTCTATGCTACAAGATGTGGAAGGAATATACCTTTTTCCTAGTCACCTTATGTACGTTAATGAAA